AGTTTGGTGGAAAGTGTATTCGATGTTATGCATCGAACGGTGGTGTGCGCCGGCGCGCTCGGCGTTCGGCAATTTCATGCGGCTTTTTGAAAACCTACAAATTTCATGTAATTGCGACAAGCAACCCGACCACCGTCCGAAGGTGTAATTTTCAGCGTAATTTCCATCAAACTGCATAGTTGTTAAAAAATACCTCAATGGGCCTCAAAACTGTTCTCTTGAAATTTTATCGTATCTCTAGCATCGAAAGCCAAAATTAAACAATTTTTCAAAATTTTTTTGCAAACCTGCCATTCTTGGAAAAAATAACCAAGTTATTCTTGATGTGGAGATCATTTTCTATTATTTCCGCCAAAGCTATCTCGGCGACCTACTATTGGATATTGAACTGTTAGTACGAGAGCTAGCAACATCGCCAAAACGAGAATTTCAGGTAGGCTAGTTTTTTATATCCCCTTTCTTTCACTATCTCGGTAGACATGCGGACTGTCTGGCTGGCAGGAGAGGTTGTGTTTATATAATACCGGTAAAAATATTAATTTTAAAAAAATTTGGACCGGAAATTTTGAATGCAGGAATCTTACGAAATGAAACTTCCGGGATCGGTTTCTGTGTACAGATCGAAGTATTAAGGTTGGAAAGGAGCTTCGCGTGCCCACACTGACTCCTACCTCGAAGAGTAAGGGCGACAGGAGCGAAGGAAAAGTGGCATTTTTGACGTTTACACTAAAAATCGTAGACAATTCAACACAATATGGCCGCCATTTTTACACAAATTTTTATATATATATATATATATATATATATAAATTTTCATTGCACGTAAGCCACCGACGCGCGACGTGAGGGAATTTCCTTACGGATCTTAAAAAATCATATCTTTTTCGTTACGGGAAAATAAGGAACGAAAATATCGCTACGCACTGAAGAATTACTTATATTTTCCGATTTCGCAAACCGCGCTCTCAGAAGATAGCGCGAAAAAAGCCTTTAGATCTCCCGATTTCTCCAAATTTTAAACGTCAAAAATGCCACTTTTCCTTAATGCCACTTAATTAATATTTTTACCTGTATTAGTGTTATGCGCACAGGTAAACGCAACCTCTCCCGTCAGCCAGACAGTCCGCATGCATACCAAGATAGTGAAAGAGGGGGATATAAAAAAATTAGCCTACCTGAAATTCTCTGTCTTGTACAGGGTTATTCATTATAAATTACCCACCCCTTATTATCGTTATTATTGCCTATAGAAAAAAAAGTTTTAAATAAAAGTTGTGTGGTTATGACTAAATTTTGTTAAAATGCTATCAAAAGTACAGTAGCGTGCAGATTTCAGGGGATATAAAAAAATAATATTTTGTTTTAAATGGGATACCCTGTATATTATTAAATTTTTTGAATGATCCTTTATTTCTGATTTCAAAAATATTCCATATGTTACCCCTATCATATACCGCTTTTGAGTTATTAAACGTCGAATATCTTAGTTAAACTAGTTACTGTAAATATGGAAAAGTTAACATTATTAAAGTGAGCTATGGAAATGACAACTATTATGTTCGATAAGTGACATTTCTTTAATGAAATAATCAAAATGGTTTACAGTGAAGAAGAAAAAGTCCAAATATTTACTTGTTATATACAAAATAACAAAAATAAACGTGCAGCAAAAAGAGGATATCGGGTGTTGCAACCAAATCTTCCATCACCATCAGAAAATACATTCAAAAATATTTACCGAAAGGTGAATAATACCTCTAGTTTTAGTAGAAAAAAGCGTGTAGTTCAAGCAAACCAGGAAGAACATCTAGATATACTACATTTCGAAGGTAAGCCCATCCATATTTATTCGCGAATAGACTTTTTTGAAATATTGTATTATTTTTTAAAAAAAATTCCGAATGTAGTATAAATAATGCAGTCGATCAATTAGGTAAAAGTTATTCCAAAAATTCAACGTACGTTAAAATAACAGTTCAGACCATATTTTATAAAGTTTTAACAGAGGCTCATAAAAGGACTTTTACCGTCAGATCATTCAAAAGTTGGAAGAAGATCCCGATTTTTTTTATTAAAATATTATGGACTGATATTTTTTTATCATCCTTTTCTACGGTAGGAGTTTTTAATAGGAAAAATCGAAAGTCGTGGGAAAACAATCACAACAGAAAAATATTGGTAAAACAAATAAAAAAATCAGGAATAAAAACTGTTAGCGTTTGGTGTGGAATTTTCAGAAACAAAATTGTTGGGTCTATATCTTATGATTATACTTTAACTGGAGTTACCTATCTATTTTCCAAAAAAATTTTTGTCTTTCAGAATTTTCCGGAAGCCGAACTTGATGAGATGATTTGGATGCAGGATGGGGCAACTCCGCATAGTATCCTACCCGTTCGAGATCATTTGAATTATGTATTCCCAATATGAATAGGGAATAATGGAGCTATTAAATGGCCACCTGACAGTCCGGATTTGATCCCTATGGAATCATTTTTTTTGGGGATTTCTAAAAGACATTGTCAATAATAATAATAATACTAGTATTCAAGTCATTAAAGACAGGATTCGATTTGAAATAAACAATCTGAATGTAAATAATGAAGCCATTTCCGGTGTAATTATAAATATAAAAAGACGTTATCAATTATGCATTGACAATAATGGTGGACACATCGAACATCTTTTATGAGTTATCATTTATTTATATTTAAATTTAAAATCTTTGTTATCTTTTTTTGTATAAATATTTGGTTTTTTCTTCCTCACTGTAAACCATTTTGATTATTTCATTAAAGAAATGTTACTTTCAAACATAATAGTTGTTTTCATAGCTCACTTTAATAATGTTAACTTTTCCATATTTACAGTACCTAACTAGTTTAACTAAGATATTCGACGTTTAATAACTCAAAAATGGTATATGGTAGGGGTAACATATGATATATTTTTGATATCAGGAACAAAGGATCAGTCCAAAAAATTAATAATATACAGGGTATCCTATTTCAAAAAAATTTAATTTTTTTATATCACCTGAAATCTGCACGCTACTGTACTTTTGATAGCATTTTAACAAAATTTAGTCATAACCACACAACTTTTATTTAAAACTGTTTTTTCAATAGACAATAATAACGATGATAAGGGGTGGGTAATTTATAATGAATAACCCTGTACTATCTAGTCTGGGGCCCGGACTATTTTATTATATTAAATAATTTTCTCTGAATCGTGCACCGCTAAATATCATTTAATTATTTAAAAAACATTATTTTATCACTATCTCTTTCACATGGATTTGTATAAACAATAAAACTATTACACCAAGAAATGTCACGATACATGAGAGTCACGTTAAAAACAAGACAAATAACAATTCCTAACTAATCTCATAAAATATTCAAGAACAAATCAATATATTCTAAAACAGTTACGGGAGCAAAAACCTACAAAATATTTCTAAATGGAATATTATATGTATGAAGTTTTAACGTATTTCGCACTGTTTGCGACATTGGTATCGAAAACCAAAAGAACGCAAAATTAAACAAATCTTGAATTTTTTTTCAAGAACCTGCCATTTTTTGGAAAAAATAACCAAGATATCCTTGTAGTGGGGATCATTTTCTATCATTTCCACCAAAGTTAACTCGGCGACATACTATTGGATACTGAACTCTAGTTTGGCGTCTATTACATTAAATATTTTTCTCCCATTCGTGTACTGCTAAATATTTAATTATTTAAAAAACATTATTTTGTCAGTATTTCACATGGATTTGTATAAACAATAATACTATTACATCAATAAATATTAACATCTGCGTTAAAACAAGACAAATAATCATTCCTAATCTCATAAAATATTCAAGCATAAATCAATATATTTCTAAAACAGTTGCTTTCGGGAGCAAAAAACTACAAAATATTCCTAAATGGAGTAGGTATATGTATATAAGTAGCGTATAATTAGGCAATAAAAAATAACGTATATTTTAGAAGAAAAGCGTTATGAAAAATAATATTTCAAAAAATAAATTCTAGTCAGTGGACTCACATTATGCCTTGGAGACCACGAATTGCACATTATTGAAGCATCTTCTAGTATTCGACTCTGAAAAGGAAAATATAGATGTAGTTTTATTCCCAATGATAATCTCTATTATGTATATCATGTCAAGCACGTGTTTTCATTGTAACGTTTGTGAAAGTGTCTCTTTCCCAACCCTAAAGCGACATAGAAATTATATGCACGTGCCGAAAACACTCATGTAATAAGTTGGTACAAATTATTGAATTAAGGGACTGGATTCAATGCACTATAGTAAATTGAAGAGGTTGAATATTAGATTCAAAACGATACAGTGTGTTTCCGAAACGGATTTATATATTTGTCCAAAAAATAATTAGATGGTTAATGACAATGGTCAGATAGTAATTTGAACTTGCGATGGTTTTATTTATTTCGTAATTGTTTTTAGAGGGCGCTAGTTACGATACATTTACCTTTTAATCATAAAATTTTCAAAATTTTAACAAGGTTTGCTACAAATGTCATTGCTGCATTAAAAAATGCCCTCTCGTCTGTAATCACAAACGCCCTGATTAACAAAGAGAAAAAGCAAACGAATTTCTTAATTAAAATAAATGAAAAGTTCCTTATAATCAAACAGCTCAAAATGTTCTATAACAAAGTTATAACATAATAATGAACATAATAATTTTAAGGGCCAGTCTTTCATTCTTCTATTAATTTGGTTAGATAGTTTCCTAGGATACGATTTTATCAATAATTGTTTCCATTGAACTTATTTATCAAATAAAAATATATTTAATAGGAGATGGAAAGATCATTTTTAAGTGTAACAATTAATGTGTTGAAATAATTCTAACCTCGCTGAGATTTGTAAACATATTAGTTAAGAAATTTTGTCGCGATTTTTCGTCGTTAAATCATGGTTAATTCGAAAAATTGTAAAGATAGCCGGGCACCGGCTGGGTGGCATAGTTGATTAGAGTGCACGATGGCAAGCGTGACTAGAAATCTCTCTATCGTAGCTGCGGGTTCGAATCCCGCCACCGACACTAGCAATGTCGGTGGGGATGGTTATATGTACAGAGTATTTCCTTTAAAATTATACATTATACCACTCTTTATTTCAATCAATTATTATGGACTCAAAAGCTAAACTTACATAAAATTTTCCGTAGTTTTTGAATATGCTGTTATTCTTTTCAATCCTTGAGACGTATACGAGGGGTGAAAAAAAGTAGTTTTTTTAAATGGATCAGGTAATATGTTTTTACATACTTGGATACCTTGTGTCTTTCTGGTCACAAATAAACATACTTGTACGTATATTTTAAAACTGTGAAAGGTAATCTCAATAAAACACAAAAGTAACGGAAAATGTAATTTATTAGAGAAGCAAAATTTTTTTAATATTATTGTAATAAATGAATGAATCATAGACAGTATATTATGAAAATGTGAAAAACATAAAAAAAACTGACATCTGCGACCCCCTCACTATTATTTATAAAAATATTACATCGCTTCATAAAATTTCTTCTCATAGAGGGAAAATGGATAAACATTGTTTAATACATGGATGTTTCCTGTATTTGCATTTTTAAATTAGGTATCTATATCATTTTATGATATTTAAATAAATTTTAGTTTTCAAATGACCCCAATGGAAAAATGCAGCGGAATCAAATTGGGTCTTTTAGAAGGCCAGTGAATAACACCAGTATTTCCAATCTACCTGGGATACCTTTTGTTGCCAAATGAGGTGAAGTCTATCAGGTATTGCTAATTTATTAATTAAATCTTCAATATTTGTATTTAATAAATTTAAATAGCTTGCCCCGTTAAATTTACCGTCAATTAAAATCGGTCGAATAATTTAGTCTTCCATAACACCACACCATATTCACAGATCTACGTACTAGTTTCCTTTTATTTCAAATACACTAGGTATTTAGTTTTTCAGTAGACCATATATGACAGTTCCTAAGATTGAAAATTACAGCTGTTGACAACGTAGACTTGTCCATCCTAATTTTGGAAAACGCCTTTTCGGCAAAATTGCGGGCGGCGTGTCGTTCTACGTCGCAAACGACGCGAAAAAGTCTTATGACCGAAATCGATCCGACGCATCGTAACGGCGTGGCGGCCTTCGACGCGCCGAAAATTTTCGATCGTCCCAAAAACATACTTCGGCGACAGATTAAGGAGCGCGCTCCCGTGGGCGGCTATTATTCGAGGAGAGGGTTTCGCGAAAAAATTGGAGGGGGTGGGGGTGAGGGAGGGGGGCTAAATTCGGAACGCGCCTTTTCGGCAAAATCGTGGGGGGCGTGTCGTTTTCCGTCGCGAATGACGCAAAAAAAGTCTTATGCCCGAATTCCATCCGACGCGTCGTTACGGCGCGGCGGCCTTCGACGCGGCGAAAATAATCGATCGACCGAAAAAAATACTTCGTCGGCAGATTAAGGACAGCGCTCCCGTGGGCGGGGATTATTCGAGGGGAGGTTTCCGTGGTACGCGCCTTTTCGTCAAAATCGCGGGGGGGTTGGCGCTCTACGTCGCGAACGGCGCAGAAAAAGTCTAATGACCGAATTCGATCCGACGCATCGTAACGGCGCGGCGGCCAATAATACACAAACTTTTGTTGCGACAGAGGAGGATGCCTTGCACAGCGCCAAGAGTGCGCGTAGCGCACGCTTAACTAATGCACATATCAGACTGTTCACCCGCTCATACTGTTCACCCGTTTTCACTTGTTAAATGTAAACAACTAGTGTTATGTGTGATTTGTGTTGTGAAATTTTAAATGAAGTAATTATAATGATCAATTCTTCCGAATTATCATCATATTACTGGTGCATTGTACCAATAAGTGAAAAAACTTCAATAAAAACGCCAGAAAAAACTTGTCCAAGTTCCAAGGAACGGAAAACGTAGAAATGTTTAGTTAAAGATGATTAAATGGGATCCAAAGAAATTTTTAAAAACAAGTTGCGTTATTGCATGCATTGATCTTTTTGATGTGAGTAATTAAAAAATAATATTAAAAATAAATATGCAAAAGCAATAAAAAATAATATGTAAAGTATATGGCACGGTACAACAGGGATCCTGCGTTTCTAACCATTTTTCTCATTTTTTTATATTATTTTGGGGCATTAACGAAGATATTTTCCATCGTGAATTTTGTGTGAGCTTACTAGGTGTTACTGAAACACAGAGTTGTCAATTATCCCTTTTGCTGTGAGACTCAGTTTTAGCAAATGTTATTATTTAAATGGATTTCAATCGCAAGCTCACAATTTTTACTTGAAAACGATAAAGGGACGTCTAAAAATATTTTTTCTAAAGGTATATACATACAGTGTGTATATAAAATTCTTACACATATCTAACAAAGGTAATTTTTTTTATATAAAAAGAACTATTATATATATAGATTTAAATTTGTTAAACGAATCTTAATTACGAAATTTTCCATTTTCTCAGAAATAATGCCTCTATCAAAATGTGTTAAGACTATATTTCCAATTTTGGGCGAAGTAGCGGAAACCAACATATTTTTAAGAAAATGAAAATGAATGAAAATTTTCATATAAGAGTAAGCTACTCTTAGACTATGTCGTCTTAATTGTAACACACCCTGTATAAACAGTGATTTATAACCAATACAAATTTTATATCTTCTTCTCACCTCGTAATTTTTATAATATGGAAGAGGTATTGTGTTCTCTAAAAAACGTCAATTTCAATTAATATTGACCTAATTTTGTCACCATATAAACTGCTGGTCAAATAAAACTAATAATGTAGTTCTCTTGTGTAATTTTTAAGAAGATTGTCTTCAAAAGGGTTGAGGATATCGGGATGAGATCTTGAAGATTTTCTTACGAATTTCATAAAAAAACTGGCTTAATCATGACATCAATGCACAATGAAATCCTTGCAATTTTTCAAAATTTCATTGATTCCGAGAACGTAAAAAAAGCAATTATAGGTTTTTATCTGTAATATTAGGATGATCTGTGCATCAATTGAAAAAAAACGGTTTTGGGTGGATTTTTTCGATTATCTTCAGAGTTCAGACAAATGTTAAAAATTGTATAAAACGTATGGTTTTTTTAGTTGCATAAATATTTTTACCATTATGTAGGTGTATTTTTCTATTATTGAATAATTTTTATATTTGTTTAACAAAGTCCAATAAATATGTTATAATCGAACAAACGAATTTTTTTTACGACATTCTGAACTAAAATATCGAAAAGAAGATTGTACATGTGTGTGTGTATCCGTGGACCGGTACGGTACATGTTAAATACGACAACTTTCTTTAGACCTAAAACTTTCCCTTCATATTTATTTTGATAGACATGTAAAATGTCAACGTAGAATTCTCCCTATTGAAAATCGACGTTCATCAGTGTGTTCGCTAGATCAGTTCAAATGTTTATGTTTTAGGTAAGCTATGTTATAATGACAACACTAAAATGAAACGCTATTAAATTGTTTTGGTAATCAACAACCTGTTTGAATATACAAACTCATAGTTTTAATTAGTTTTGACCCTGAATGTCTCCATAAGGAATCACACGTACAATGTACGGCAAATGCATAAAAAACTGAACAGGACAGTTTTCTGTTTATATATTTTCATAGACACCTGAGAAGTTATTTTATATTGATGCAGTTTCTATTTACCTCGCCTCTAATAATTGTTAACCAGTTACTATCAAAATCTAGGTACATATTTACCAACTTTAGGTATAACTCTTGTGAATTTTATAATACTAAAAGCAATAATCTGGATACTATTAACAAAACGGGTGTCTTCTAACAATAGGTAAAAATGTTTAAGCCAATATTGAACTGGATGATAACTAAAGAGAAAAAAAAATAAAATTATCCACATAACAAACAATGGTTTTGATATTTTTAATAAATAAAATAAAATGAAATAAGAAAATCATTAAAAATACTGTACATTTTTATCCAATACTTTGTTTAGACTTCTTCTTGTTCACCCTGTCCTTATGTGGAGACGTACATTTTTTTTTATTAAAATCAGTTGCATAATAAAAATAGTGTCAAAAATGATTTTCTGGACATTTTTATAACTTTACACAAAATCACAATATATAATTAATTATGAGTGATTAATATGACATATTTTTGTTTTAGATAGGTACATTTAAAATAAAATGAAGATGTACATAAAATATATATAAATTGAAATTATTTACTTTTGCACACCTATTTTTTAAATCCCTCTTTTCAGTTGTAAGAATACCATGAAAACTATATATTCTCAAAATAGTTAGTTAATTTCTTCTCGAGTTTCTCTGATTTTTTAAAACGACACATTACTGTTAAGATATAACTCATATCAAACAATTACCATCTGAATGCTAAACAGAAATTTACTATTATTGACTAATTCTACATAAATATCTAGTTCTATCAGATAAAAATAAATCGGTTTACAGCAAAAGCTTGATTTAATCGAATACGAAAAAAAAGAACTTTAACATCTGAGAAAATATTTTTATAGATAGGTATTTAGCAGACAAAAAAAAAGGGAAACGGGCAAAAATGTTACAAGTATGTAAGTCTTTCCCCTTATTATATTAATAATAGATAGATATGATTTAAAAAACTGTATAGAGTGTTAGGCTTGTCAAAATGAATGAAGAAGTATGCTATTTGTCCACATCAAATCTACTATCATCTTTCATTTTGTCAATGTTTATTTCTGCTTTAATTTTTTAAACATGTTCCATTTAAATCCATTTTATTTTCCCCTGATAATTCTAATTTATTTATACCTTTTCATGGACTGAATTGACTTAATATTTTAATTTCTTTTTTTTTACTTTAATGTAATTTGATCAGGTAATTCAATATTTTTTAGTATTAGTTACAAAGAGTCGTTTTGATCGAATCTCCAGTGGTGCATACTTTAAAACGTTTGTAAACTTTTGATTTATATTTACATAAATGCCAGGTGATTTTTGACTTCATATTAAATGTTAATATTATGAAAGTTTTTTGTTTA